TAGTACATATAGTTTGAAATAAAAATATGAGTGTCCGGTTCTTTTGTCTTAGACTGTACTCGATAATACCCGACGAAAATCTGTACAGTGGGGATCGCAGAGCGTAGAGTAGGGTAGCGTGTCGTGGCATCGGGTGGGTAGATGTGCACGGGGTTAATTCAATCTTATGGAAAATTGGACTTTGGATTTGCGATGGGGAAGTGTGTTCCGCCCTTAAACGTGCTGTTTATTTATTGATACATTCTTGTAATTTCTCTACATACTGAAGTACAAGTTAAATATATATAAAATTGTTATATGTCCTTAGATCTTGTTTTGTTAGTAATGTTTATTATTCTATGCAGAAAAGTTTTTTTATTTGCTTATGTGACACGAATTCATTTTACATCCATTCCCTTTTTTTGTTTGTATATAGGATTCATAATTCAATGTAGCTTAATCATATGCAAATTCAAATATGTATAGGTATAGAAAAGTAAAAAAAATTAAAGGTGTATTGATCCTTGTGAACATGTCGAAAACGAGTCAATCAATACCGCCCCTTTTTTTAATTAATCAATACGGGCTAATCCAACAAAGAGATACCCCACGGAGTGGCGCTGGGTCTAATGACGAGCTAATGATATATAACTAAAGGGTCCGTCTTAATAAAGCCATTACAAGCCGTAGCTCACCGTAAAGCCCTCGATAAGTCAATTTACTTCGAGAGCTAACTTGTAAGCCCTCCCGTGCAGCCCATGGAACCATAAGTATGGAACCACTTTGACTTCCTCATTAGCCTAACCTCTCACAAGGGCTAATCGTGTTCTCTCCCATCGTAATTAAATCATTGTTTAAGAATCTCACTAAGAATGCAACTAAAGGGACACTTGAATTTGTCTGTAAGTACTATTTGAACTAATAAATATTATATTTATATCGATTTATTGGTATTACATATTTTTTGAAATTTATAGTTAAACAACTTATAATTAATTACTTTTAAAATTTGTGAGTGAGAGAGAAATATATTGTGAAAGAGGGATAGAGAAATAGAGAAAAAACAGAGAAGTAATTTATGCAAATAAATACTTATAGAGAAAGAAACAAAGATGGAGGAAAAGAGAGTGAGAGAGAAAGAGATAGGAATTTTTTTTTAAAGATTTTGATCTATTTTTTAGTTCTATGTTCAGTGGCGATTTTAATTTCGAGGGCCCCCCCGCCCGAAGCAAAAGGATTTGCCCTCGAGCCCGCTGTGTGAATTTTATTAATCAAAGCTGACCAGCCACAGTTGGTATCACTGAGTAAAAACAGTATGGTCGTTGAAACCTTTTCACCCAGCGGTGCGCTTCTGATTTTCTGACTTTTCCTGCTCTATTCTCTTCTCCTCTTCCTCTTTATCGTCTTTAATTTATCTTACCCGTTTCACCCTCCGTTTTGCCGACAATTACGCGAGTGCCATCCCTGGAACCCGAAACAAGAGGAATCTTTGTGTGGAATCGTCGAACGGTGAGTTAACCTCATTTCCGTTAATTCTTTAACCCCTTTTTTCACAGCTAATAATTCTCCCCTTTCTTTTTACACTCCGCTTTTCGTTGCCTTTGTTCTACGCAGTTTTCGATACCATTTTTGCCTCCGCAAAATAAAACATTTTTCTTATTTGCTTCTAATAAACACCATTTTTGCTTCCGATTCGCTTCCAACATAGAGTGCTCATTTTGCCTCTGATCAGACCCATATTTCGTTCTTCTACCTCTGACGTACTTGCTTCCAACATATATTTTGTTTTGTTTCGAAATATCTTCGAAGTAGGACAGTGAAATGTCATGAAGTATCCATTTTTACGACTTTTTGTCTTTTCTTACTTTTTCTTCTTAGAGGGATAGAGTCAGAAAAAGGGGAAAGAGAGAGTGTGTGTGAGAGAGTGAGAGAGAGAGAGAGAGAGAGAGAGAGAGAGAGAGAAAGGCAGTGAGTGAGAGATAGAGAAAGAGAGAGAGAGAGAGAGAGAGAGAGTAAGAGAGATAGAGTGAGGGAGAGAGTAAGAGAGAGAGTAAGAGAGAGAGAGTGAGTGTGAGAAAGAGGCAGTGAGTGAGAGAAAGAGAGAGTGAGTGAGAGAGAGAGAAAAAGTGAGTAAGAGAGAGAGAAAGTAGGAGAGAGAGAGTGAGTGTGAGAGAGAGGCAGTGAGTGAGAGACAGAGAGAAAGAGAGAGAGAGAGATTAATGTTGTATTTATAGTCGCAGTGATTTGGTCAAATTTGAAAATCAATTGGTGAAAATCAATTGTCAAATTGCTTAATTTAATCATCAAAAATAATGCAGTTGATTTCAGATTTAAAAAATAATGTAAAAAGTAGTAATGTATCAAACAAAATAAGTAAAATATCATGTGCATTTATTTTTAATTAAATTATTTTTATTGGTTTAAATTATTAATTAATATTTTGTTTTTAAAATGATTAAGATTATATTTTATTAGGCATATTTCAGTAAGATATCGATTTTTAAAACTTTTTAAATAATTTTATTTCTTTTGTATTGATTACTTAAATCAAAGGAACTATATTATTATATGGTTAATGATTTTACATACGCTTCAGTTTTGTCGCAAGGAGCTTAAGTTCAACATAATAATTTCTAAGATCAGTATTACAACCGTCTCAGTTGTTTAAAAAAATATATTTGTTCTTTAGCTTGTAAAATGTTTTGTAAAATACCTATAATTAACTACGTTTTTAGATCTTCAATTTTTAATGAATTGAGAACTTTATCGATATTGAGAATTTATAGAAAGATTTTATTATTCTTTGTTAGGTTTAATATAAAACTAATACTATAATTTCGTAGTTTTTGTGGTAGTAATGAAAGACATGGTCAGTAAAAAATATAAAAAATAAGGCATGATTAGAACATTATAAAAGTATTTCTTCCTATTTTTATCTTTATATTTTAAAATTTTGTTAATAAATTAAATATTTTAATACGATAAGTTGAGTAATATTTTATATATAATACTAAATTATATTAAAGTATTATATCTAATATAAAATAATAACATAAAAGAAAGAGATTGAATAAGAGGGATAGAGAAATTGAGGAAAAGGCGGAGAAGATATTTATGGAGATAAATAGTTTTATTGAAAGAAATAAAGTGAAAGAGAAAGAGAGAAAAGGAGAGCGAGAGAGAGGGACAGCGAGGGAGAGGGACAGCGAGAGAGAGAGACAGACAGACAAACAGAGAGGGGGAGGAAAAAGTAGAAAATAAAAAAAATAAAAACCAAAATAGAGTTATGTAATTATCTGTTTCTCCAAATTAACTGTTTTTATCACCAAAGTAATTTGATAATTGCATTAGAGATTTTCTTCTATGCCACCATTGTGCCATTTGTCATTTTATATAATGCTAAATTTTATAAAGCTTATGGGTTGGCGAATTTTGTTTTTACGCGGATTGTGCCGTCAAAATAGTGTAGAACTTAAATCGACCAACACCAACACCATCGGATTTTTCCCAATTTCGAATCACTGAAAAATTTAGTTTTCATAGTAGATAGTTTTTACTACGCTTTTCTTGCAATCTACCTAAAAAATGCTGTAAAATGATACATTCACACAGTTGATTTGAGCGCCAATTCTCAACAAGTGGCTATATTTTGGAGTGTAAAATCACCAAAAAAGTGTGGTCCTAATCCGTGTCCCACCCAACCTGGTCGTCCTCTTACGATATGAGAACCGTATTTCATGTAATAACAATAGATTTCCAGTTGCGTTCAATACGCTTTTAACACGTGCGAGTAACGAACTCAATTAATGGGAAACCGAGTGTCCGCTTCAACGGAATTGTTATTTGCAAGTATTCCATATGAAGTGGTTCTTAATTGAATATTTACGAACCGACGGATTCATTGAAAGTTGACGACTACTGGCAACTGATATTTAGCAGGAAGTTTTTTATTTATGGTCGTTTTGGAGAAAACAATAATATTAACATTTACAGTAATGGTGATACACAGTAGTGACATATATAAATTAGTTCAGTAATTTTGCTTAATCTTTTTTTTAAAAATCACGATTGGGCAACAATTATTGTTTGAAAATTAAACAATTAAAAGAAAGTTTTAAAAATATCGTTACCATAACGACGATTACAAACGATCATACGGCAGACTGTACAAATTAAATCCATCCCTAACTTAATCCAAAATAGAAATCACTTATAATACAAATATAAATTTTTTGTGGTCTTTACAGTTTTAAATATTATTAATGTTGTACAGAGTATGATTGAACATAATCTAATGAGAGAAAATCTTTTAGATTTTTTTATTAATATGTTTAGATACACATGGTTTGATAACAGTGTTTAAATTATTTTAGATTTTGATAGATTTTGGAATGAATGAATTTTAACAGTGTGTTCAACACAACCGAATTTTAAATGCAGTTTGAGAATGTGAAAGTCGTTTTTAAATTTTAAAATGAGAAACAATATCAAATGGGTATAATGGTTTTATTGTTATTATGTCACAAATTCGGTCAAAATAACAATTATCAATTTTTAAAATGGATAAATTCTAGTATTTGTCATAAATTCTACAATCATATTGTAGATTGCAGATATAGAGTATACACATATTTCTAGTAACATGTAACTTATAAAAATTTTATTAGAAATGTTAGAAATGACTCCAAGACCAGTTATATTTGGAAGTATTAGTATATTAAAAAGCGTTTGCTTCATGAATATATTATTAATATTAAATAGTTATTTTAATTGATATTCAATGGAAGGTATCGTGCTACAAGCTTTATCAATATTTGTAGTCCACGTTAAATATTCTATCTATACCTATTAGTGAGCCTAGGATTCATTAAATTGAATTTAAATTCTGTTTAGAGAGAAAGATTTTGATTTATTTTTTAGTTTATGTTCCGCGATGTTAATTTAGATGTGCCCCTCCCGAAGAAAAAGGTTTTACCCACGCGCCCACTGTTTGAATTTTATTAATCAAAGCCGCCGGCCACATGTTGGTATCACTGGGTACAAACAGTATAGCCGTCGAACCGTTTTCGCCCTGCGCCGTGTTTCTGTTTTTTCTGACTTTTCCTTCTGTTTCCTCTTTTCACCTTTTCCTCTTTGTCGCCTGTACTTTGTCTTACCCGTTTCACCCTCCGTTATGCCGACAATTACGCGAGTGCTACTTGTGAAACCCGAAACAAGAGAAATCTATGTGTGGAATCGCCGAAAGGTGAGTTAACCTTATTTCCTTCGATTATTTAACCCATTTTTTCACAGATTATAATTCTCCCCTTTCTTTTTACTTCACCATTTTCGCAGTCCGCTACATACTTGCGTACATTTTTTGGACATTTTAGTCCTTTCTTACATGCGCCCTTAAAATCTTATTTGCTCCGTTCTCAGTGCCACTCCGTTTTTCCTTGCCTTTGTTCTACGCAACTTTCGGTACCATTTTTGCCTCCGCAAGTAAAGCATTGTTCGTATTTGCTTTCGAATGCTTCCAATAAATTCAATTTTTGCTTCCGAATCGTTACCAACGTAGAACGCTCATTTTGCTTCTGATCAGTGCCATATTTGGTTCGTCTGACTCTGACGTACTTGCTTCCATCATATATTTTGTTTTGTTTTGAAATATCTTCGACGTAGGAGAAGAAAAAAATTGAGGGATGCAAAAGAGAGAGAAGTAGGGATTTTGATTAATTTTTAGTTATGCTGTGTGTACATTTTTTGGACATTTTTGTCTTTTCTCACTGAACGTAGATAATGTTTTATCGAATTACATTGAACTATGTATAAAATTGTAATGGAAAAGCGAGAAAGAGATTGAAACAGAGAGAGGATGAGAAAGAGAGCGACAGAGAGAGAATTGAATTGGACATTTAATTTATAAAAGCTCCCAAAATTAGGTCTCATGGATCTTCTTACATTAAAAAAGCATTCGTGTAAATATATTAAGATTGCATAATTCAAAACAAAAAAAAACACCTATAATACAAACATTTTTTTGCCGTCTTCATATATTTTTAAATAATATTGATTTTATACAGAGTATAGTGGAACATAATCTAATGAGATAAAAGCTTTTAGATATTTGTTATAAATATAAATATCTATTAGTGAGCTTAGAATTTTTTCAATTGTGTATCAATTTAATTCAATTGAGAGAGAGAAAGATTCTGATTTGTTTTTTAGTTTATGTTCAGAGGCCATGTTAATTTCGATGTGCCCCTCCCGAAGAAAAAGGATTTCCCCGCGCGCCCAATGTTTGAATTTTATTAATCAAAGCCGGCCGGCCACATGTTGGTATCACTGGGTACAAACAGTTGGCCGTCGAACCGTTTTCACCCAAAGCCGCGCTACTGATATTCTGACTTTTCCTTCTCTTTTCCTCTTTTCTCCTCTTCTTCTTTATCGCCTTTGCTTTATCTTACCTTTATTATTTTACTTTACCCTCCGTTATGCCAACAATTGCGCGAGTGCTACCCATGGAACCCGAAACAAGAGGAATCTATGTGTGGAATCGCCGAACGGTGAGTTAACCTAATTTCCTAGTTTATCCTTATTTTAATTCAACATTTATACAGTCCGCTACATACAATGTGTACATTTTTTGACATTTTAGTCCTTTCTTACATGAGCTCATAAAATCTTATTTGCTCCCTTCTCAGCGCCACTCCGTTTTTTGTTGCCTTTGTTCTACCCAGTTTTGGGTACCATTTTTGCCTCCGCAAATAAAGGATTGTTCATATTTGCTTTCGATGCTTCCAATAAATACCATTTTTGCTTCCGAATGCTTCCAATAACAACCATTTTTGCTTCCGAATCCATTCCAACGTAAAATGCTCAATTTTGCCTCTGATCAGGCCCATACATGGTTCTTCTGCCTCTGACCTACTTCCTTCCAACATATATTTTGTTTTGTTTGGAAATATCTTCGATGTAGAAGAGAGAAAAAGATTGAGAGATGGAAAAGAGAGAGAGAAGGAGATTTTTTTATTTTTTTTAGTTATGCTGTGTGTACATTTTTTAGACAATTTTGTCTCTTCTTACAGAATGTACGCAGTGTTTTATCGAGTTACATTACACTATGTAGAGAGAAAGTCTGATTGAGAGAGAGAGAGAGAGTGAGAGAGTGAGTGAGAGAGAGAGAGAGTGAGAGAAAGAGAGCGTGAGAGATAAAGAGAGAGTGAGGGGAGAGGGAGGGAGTGAGAGAGGGGGAGAGAGAGAGAAAGAGAGAAAGAAAGCGACTGAGAGAAAATTGAATTGCTCATTTAATCTATCAAGGAGGAAATATAGAGGACAATAGGAGAAGAAAAAAATTGAGGGATGCAAAAGAGAGAGAAGTAGGGATTTTGATTAATTTTTAGTTATGCTGTGTGTACATTTTTTGGACATTTTTGTCTTTTCTCACTGAACGTAGATAATGTTTTATCGAATTACATTGAACTATGTATAAAATTGTAATGGAAAAGCGAGAAAGAGATTGAAACAGAGAGAGGATGAGAAAGAGAGCGACAGAGAGAGAATTGAATTGGACATTTAATTTATAAAAGCTCCCAAAATTAGGTCTCATGGATCTTCTTACATTAAAAAAGCATTCGTGTAAATATATTAAGATTGCATAATTCAAAACAAAAAAAAACACCTATAATACAAACATTTTTTTGCCGTCTTCATATATTTTTAAATAATATTGATTTTATACAGAGTATAGTGGAACATAATCTAATGAGATAAAAGCTTTTAGATATTTGTTATAAATATAAATATCTATTAGTGAGCTTAGAATTTTTTCAATTGTGTATCAATTTAATTCAATTGAGAGAGAGAAAGATTCTGATTTGTTTTTTAGTTTATGTTCAGAGGCCATGTTAATTTCGATGTGCCCCTCCCGAAGAAAAAGGATTTCCCCGCGCGCCCAATGTTTGAATTTTATTAATCAAAGCCGGCCGGCCACATGTTGGTATCACTGGGTACAAACAGTTGGCCGTCGAACCGTTTTCACCCAAAGCCGCGCTACTGATATTCTGACTTTTCCTTCTCTTTTCCTCTTTTCTCCTCTTCTTCTTTATCGCCTTTGCTTTATCTTACCAACTTTACCCTCCGTTATGCCGACAATTGCGCGAGTGCTACCCATGGAACCCGAAACAAGAGGAATCTATGTGTGGAATCGCCGAACGGTGAGTTAACCTAATTTCCTAGTTTATATTTCTCCTCCTTCTTTTTAATTCAACATTTATACAGTCCGCTACGTACAATGTGTACATTTTTTTGACATTTTAGTCCTTTCTTACATGAGCTCTTAAAATCTTATTTGCTCCCTTCTCAGCGCCACTCCGTTTTTTGTTGTCTTTGTTCTACCCAGTTTTGGGTACCATTTTTGCCTCCGCAAATAAAGGATTGTTCATATTTGCTTTCGAATGCTTCCAATAAAAACCATTTTTGCTTCCGAATCCCCCGTAAAATGCTCATTTTGCCTCTGATCAGACCCATACATGGTTCGTCTGGCTCTGACGTACTTGCTTCGAACATATATTTTGTTTTGTTTCGAAATATCTTCGAAGTAGGAGAGAAAAAAAGATTGAGAGATGGAAAAGAGAGAGAGAAAGAGAGATTTTTATTTTTTTTAGTTATGCTGTGTACATTTTTTGGAAAATTTTGTCTTTTCTTACAGAATGTACGCAGTGTTTTATCGAGTTCCACTACAGTATGTAGAGAGAAAGTCTGATTGAGAGAGAGAGAGTGAGAGCGAGAGAGCGTGAGAGATACAGAGAGAGTGAGGGGAGAGGGAGCGAGTGAGAGAGGGAGAGAGAAAGAGAGAAAGAAAGCGACTGAGAGAAAATTGAATTGATCATTTAATCTATAAAAGCTGGCAAAATTAGTTCTAATGTATCTTGTTACATTAAAAAGTATGTTTGCAAATATATTAAGTTTACATTATTCAAAACACAAACACCTTTAATAAAAATTTGCTGTCTACTTATATTTTTAAACATTGTTGATTTTGTACAGAATATGGAACATAATGTAATGGGATAAAAGCTTTTAGATATTTGTTATAAATATAAATATCTATTAGTGAGCCTAGAATTTTTTCAATTGTACATCAATTCCATTCAGTTGATAGAGAGAAAGATTTTGATTTATTTTTTAGTTCTCTGTTCAGTCGTGTTGTTAATTTCGGTGGCCCCCTTCGTTAAAAATGAGAATTCCCACCGAAACAAAATAATTTCTGTTTGTGTGGATTCGCCGAACGGTGAGTTCACCTTATTTTCGTTGATTCTTTAACACCTCTTTTCTCACCTCTTATAATTCTCCACTTTCTTTTCAATTGAATATTTACACAGTTGGCTACACATATTTAATGGGCCTCCGGTGGAGGATTTCGTTTTAATTATTGTTGCCATTATTGATATAATCTCGTCAGTATTATTTGAGCCATGCGTACAGCCAGAAAGCTTTGCCGTATCATGTCTCTTTATATATTTTTTATTTCAAATTCGACTAGTTAATAGATTTTTTAAGTCTTATTCATTTTGGGAACTTATTTTAAAGGTTATTCTATTTTGTTGCTTTCTAGATGTCTTAAGGAGTAATAATCAAAATAATAAACAGATCAATTTAATTTAAATATTTGATAAGCAAAGTAAGCGACTTTTTTTCTTATTTCGCGTACACTACCGAATTTGCCGCGTCCCCCAACCCTCTCACAATTATATAAAAATTGCAGAATACAAATTCACGTTTCACAAAATTTTTACACAAAACTAGTATAACACCACAAAAATAGCACCCCACTTTACGTATGTATGAAATACATGGTTATAAATTAATTTTTACATCTTCAATTGTATTTTTTCAAATAACACATTGATGGGATTTAATGTCGTAGCAATGTTGTAAACAGCCTGTACGCTTGTATTTCTTCTTCTTTTGAACAGCATCATTCAATTTTGCTAATGACATTTTCACTATCAGTAGGGAATAAACAACTTAATTAAATTCGTGTAATAAGTTGATCATTTAAGTGTGAAAAGAGAACGAGAGGTAAATGAAATTATGCACACTTCGTTAAAAACTAATTACGCTAAAGAAACAATGAGTCGTTATAATTCTCTATCGTTGTAGAGTTGTTTGTTTTTTAGTGACTTGTTGTTTCATTTGATGACGTCGTGAGGAGCGGTCAAGAATGAAGTAGTTTCGAAAAACACCTTTTTCATTTTTTTGCCG